CCCCAAAACCCCAAAACCCCAAAACCCCATTGTTCTAAATATGGTCTCAAATTAGTGATTAAAGCAATTTAATAGGTAATTAATAATCTTTTATAAATCATAGGACTGCACTCTCAGGTCTTTGAATTACATTGGCTAAGTTAGATAAGTTGCCCTGATGAGACGACTAAGTTAAATTATTCATATTAATGGTATATTCAAACTACTTCTGTGCATTGCTCATTCTTTTTCTTTCCTTGTTTTCACCCACACCATTGAAATTGAATAGTTTACTATGTTTAACTCCTGATGAGATAACTGAGTTCTTGATGATTTGCTTTATCTTATTAATTTCTTAGCCAGATTCATAGATGAAAGTACCGTTTTAATTGCTGTTAGACTCAATGTATGAAGGATATCTCTGATCAATAGGTTAAAACTCCTGTAATGCTTAAGAAATACTCCTCGCATGTCTATAAGTGTTCACTCTTGTTGGAGCCTCTGAGTATCCATTTTACATATTCATCATTTGCTTGGCTATCTCTCCCTAATAAGCACTTTAGCTATTTTCAAACATCTGCTTGTTTAGTTTATTCTATGAATCGGGACTCTCTTGTCTGGACATTTGATTTGACTTATTTAATCTTTGCATGGGCAGAGCGGTAAATCTTCTCTTAGATTTCTATAGCTTTCTCGTTAAAATTTAGGGTGGAATTTAAGCAAAGTATGATTGATTTAGCGACTCCAAATCTACTTGCGCTATTTTTTCTTCTACTGATACATTTCTATAGATCTTTCCATCCTTACCCTGCATTTATTTTTCAGAAGGATCTTGAGCGCAAGATAAGCAATTGACATTCCTTTTACCAATAAGTACCTCTTGCTATCTCTGATGGATCTCATCCATCTTTTAGGTAGCAATTGTCTGGGTAATGCTAATGCTCTCAACTTCATTAATAATCTAAACAAAATTTTCTTCTATCTGCTCAATTCTTTTCATTTATGTTTCGAAGGCATCTTTAACCTCTACTTACTCAGCTTTCTCACCAATTTTCTTTATGATAGAATGGATGTTCATATCCTATCTCAACTTCACGAGCTTTGAATCCCACATCTTAGCCATATCAAGAATGTTCTTCTGCATAAGTTCACTTTCTCTCTTAACGAATTGCTAAATATAGTCAGATGGCAGCATATCTCTCGGAAACCATTTATGAAATTAATCAATGTCTAGTTTATGATCCAAATCCTCTTAATGTTATTCTACCTCGATTCTCCTTGTCAATTCATTCTCGATTATTGATATCTTATCATAATTCCCTTTAATCTTATCATCCAATTCTTTTAAGACTAGTTCAACATTTGGAGGTATGTTTTTTATCGCTGTGTCTCTCTCTTCTTAATATTAGAATAGTTAAGCCTATATAGATATTTTAAATGGGTAAAATTCTTACAATTTTAATCTAGTTGTCTTTATTTCTCTATTCAAATGTCTGGTAACTTTTGGTCATCATATCAAACTGCTGATCGAAATTGATTTTCTATTGCTATGAATCAGTTTTGGTTTTGTTGAAGACAGACACATCCAGTTTTTATTTTATTTTTTGCTCGAAATCATAGAACATCTTCTTAAACAGTTATAGCTTTTCTTCCCATGTAATGCCTTAGTTATCTAGCTTAGTATTTACCTAAAATAATAAAAATGAATTTCAATTATTAATACATCATCTACAACCTTTCCAAGTGAAAGAGAGGAATCGTTCACAGTTTCCTGTATCTACATTGTTATTGTACTATAAGTCTAATTACTTTTTAAATCAACTTATCATATAGAATTTATCCATGATCATGGACATATTACTCGTTAACCCTTGACTTCAATAATTATTCGCAATCCATGATTCTCCATTAGATATTCTTTTCCAAATTCAAAGCGAGATCCTCAATTGCTGTAACTTTTTCAGTAGTTATTTTCTTGACCTCTGCAAATTGCCTATCTAAGTCTTCAAATTTATCATCTACCTCTTAACTTAGTCACAAATATTCTATATTACCTTTCTATTCAATTTGTTCTCTAGATTTTGTAGACCTTAAGTGAATTCATTAATGCGCACTCGGTCGTTGATTCGAATATTAAAATTCTTTTTATCATACTCGAACTTAGGTACGAACTCTCGAAATATTTGCATGTCCTTCACAATGGTTTTCATGGTTTACTAAAACTGAACTATCTCATAATTTAAGTCAGTGGATTATTTCTCTTTTTTGTCAGGGGATAATGATTTATCAGTTTCCTCAGTCTTCTCTGTCAAATCATTAAAATCCTTGAAAATCAAGGCAAGCTATACAAAATGACTGTTAATAGGGCAATGAACAAATCTACTATGCTTACCTTTGAACTGCTAATGTATTCTTCCTTTATTATTTAAGTTAAAGACTTCTAAGCCTTAGCATTATCATTTATAATATCCGAAACTTGATCAAAATAACCCTATTAATGATAAGTCTCAAAGTTATCTTACCTTAATCTAATTCAACTTATTCCTGAAGCATTGCTGCAGTTCATCATGATCCAAATCTGCATCACTTAATTCATCACTATCTTCGTTTATAATCATGCTTCCAGTTCTTCTGCTGCTCTATCCAAGATTCTTAGATCTTAAAATAGAGAGTCTCTTGTATTATTTGTCAGAGAATCTTAGACTTCTTACGTCTAGATCCTTTTATTTAGGCCTTCTTAATGGCGATAAACTCGCAGTGTCCATTTCTACTATTTTAGCTTTAATTGATTTCGATTTTTATTTTTTTCAAACTGACTTGAAATTTAATTGGGGATTATTATAAATTAATTTTAATCATGATAATGTCTTTATTCTGCAAAAATATAAAAAATAAGACCACGCTTCACTACTTCAATCTTGGGTTTTCAAGAGCTACTTTTTCAGCATCATGTAAAGTATCAGATTTTTAAAAGCCATTATCGCAAGAAGAAATAAAAAATATTAAACTTAACTAGCCAAAGCATGATAGTAAAGTAGAATTGAGTTAATTTAAGATTAGGAATTCAGGAGCAAGAGAAAGGCTTCCTCAATCATATGCAAGAAGTGAAAAAATATCATGAACTCATTGCACAGTCAAAATATGAGCAAGCAAGGAACTAGCTTTAAGAAGCATCAAATATATTAAAATCAGTTGGACAGCAAAATACCTTCTCATATTTGCATGTTTTGCAATTAACAGCGACGTCTCTGATTAAATAGAATAAATATATAGAATTACAAGCTATTCTGGAAGAAATATAAAAACTTACAGCATAACTAACACAAAACCCAACTAATCATTTCATTAACCAAAGGAATTAGGTGCTGGCTTAGATGTATATAGATTTGGAATAAGCTGAAAAAAATTGTGCAGAAATCAGTATTAGTGAATAAAGCCTTGGCTATATTCCTGATTTGATTTAGATTATGGGTGTAAGATTACTAAACTGTAAAACTGTTAATATAGAGTATTAAATTTTTGAAGGATAGATATTCAGAAGCAGAATCTTATTTTACTAACTCTTATAACATATTGCTCAATCAAGTGGCAGATAATTTGAATTATTCTACTGCTTTAGGAAAATACAAGAATAATCTAACTGTTTCACATTGGTTGAAAAGTACAAATAATAAATTAGATAAATCTGAACAATAAAAAATCTTGAATTAATTCAAGGAAAGTATCAGATACCTAGAAAGACATAACATTTAAGAATCAATAGAGAGACTACCAGAGAATTAAAAGCACTTCTTTCAAGAATTTTACAAGAATCAAGACCACTAAAACACTGATTTGGATTTTTCTGTAGCTAAATTTTAGTCTCACGAATTGGGTAAAGTATTTTCTAATATGTCAGACTTCGCTTTCGAGCAATTCAAAGACTCCGAGACTGATCTGAATGTGATATCATTTTATACAGTAATGGGTTTGAAATATCTTGAGCAACACTAACCAGATAACCTTGTAAGATAGCTAATAATCCTGGGATCTTATTATGAGTAAAAGAAAAAGGTCTTGATGGCTGAAGGAATTTACAGTCAAGCGATAGAATATAGTAAAAACAAAGAAAATCATGATAGAGTTCTGGTTTTATCTAAGTATGGGCGACTGATTAAAACATAAGAGAGAAGACAAACAGAAGCCGATAAGATCTTAGCACAGGCTTAAGAAATCCAAAGTAAATTGAAGCCCTGGTACCGAAATCTGGAGTATCTATTCCTTCCAGAGTTCATTCTCGATTGAAGAATCACGCAATTAAATTGTTAATTTACTTAGACAACTTTATCTTTCTAGATGGGGTTTTGGGGTTTTGGGGTTTTGGGG